TCCCCGGCGACGCCCCCTCACAGCCCACACACACACACACAGCTTCCTGTGCTGTCTCGGGTTACAGCTGGAAGGTTGCAGGGTGTGTGTGTGTGTGTGTGTGGGCTGTGAGGGGGCGTCGCCGGGGAAAACCCGATCAGGGCTGAGGCTTCTGGGCCTCCACCTGACCCAGCAGGCGGCTGAAAGCTAGCAGGAAATTCCCCTCCTAACGAGGGAAGAATTCGCTGGCTGGGGAGGAATTCCAAGCAACTTTCACCGACTGGGTGTGTGTGTGTGTGTGTGGGGGGGTTCTTTGTGGTCTCAGAAAAAAACTTCTCTTTTTGTTGCTTTTCAGGCTTTTTTATTTATACAAAACATGATAAACAGATTTAAATACCAATAAATATGAATAAATAAATGTTTAAAATAAGGAAGGAGCTTTCTGCTCCTACAGCCTCATGTCGGCATAAATACAAACAAAAAGTGCCTAAAACAGAAATAAAGTTTCAACTGGTACAGTTAATAAAGTCTGGGTCCATCTCCATGGAGATGTTAGCATTTCTACGTCTGAATCAAGGTGTGAAAGCGTGCTCAGGTACGCTCCCTGGTGATCACAGCAGTGACTCAAAGTGCAAACACACCAAAGAAGGTCTTCCCCTCCTCGGTCTCCAGCTCAGTGAGCTGGTTGGTCTCCGTCCAAAGCCGGTCTCCTCGGTTCAGGTGGAAGACGGCCCCCAGGTAGATGGTGCTGTAGCAGCCGCGGCCCGATAGCCCGTCCTCCTCCTGCAGGTTCTGACACGCCGACCTGACGGCGTTCATCAGGGACACCGGCTTCCCCACGGAGGTGGAGGAACTCCAGATCCGGTGGCTGAGGGGCTGTAGGGACGACAGGCCCTGCTTGTCCTCACTGTAGGACACCCTGAAGGACACCTGGCTGTAGACGAAGTACAGTCCCCTCTCTGGGATGATGATCTGGTTGTCTTGCAGATGAAGGCCCCCCAAAGAGAAGGCCTGGCCCACAGCGTCCCTCCACTCGATAGAGGGCTTCCTGTCATCCTCGTCGTATTTACCTGCAAAGATGGAAGACATTTAGTCTCTGCAGGTCCCACAGGTGGCTCTCAGAGGGCTAGGCTAAGATCAGAGGACTAGGCTTAGGTCGGAGGGCTAGGCTTAGGTCAGAAGGCTAGGCTTTGGCCAGAGGGCTAGGCCTAGGTCAGAAGGCTAGGCCTAGGTCAGAGGGCTAGGCTTAGGTCAGAGGGCTAGGCTAAGATCAGAGAGCTAGGCTAAAGTAGGGCCTGACTCACCGACTAAATGGATGGCGGCCGTCGCCCTCCTGCTGATTTCCCTCAGCTTGGAATGGGTCCCTGAGGAGAAGGAGACACAATGAGTTCAGATCATCTCAGGTTAAGCTTCCTGTGGATTTAGATCAAACTGAGGTGATATTCACCTGTGGTGACATCAGAGTCCATGATGACTGGAGCTGCTGTGTGTTCTGAGCCGGTCTGGAGGTTAGAAAAGCTCAGATTAAAGAGAAGCACCAGAAACCAAACCTCTGCAGAGTTAAACTCAGACTTACTGTTGGTCCTGATCGCTCCAGCTGGTACCACACATAGAGCCGGGCTCCTCCAAGGCTGAGGGCCAGTAGGAGCAGCACCCCGAACACCTTCCACATCCACCCTGTGGACGGCTTCTTCTCCACCAGAACCTCCATCCTGCCCTGAGGACCTGCTTCCACGTCTCCCGCTGTGATTTTGTAGCCCGTCATCGTCTGTGTCTGAATCAGCCTCTGAGCTTCCGCCTGTCTGACAGTTAGACTGAACCTCTGCCAGGCGGCCTCTAGTATTTATGCTCTGGAGGCTGTTCCTGCAGAAGGGAAACTCCAGTTATGTCACTGAGTGGAGAGGCCGCAGCTGCAGCAGCCGCTCGCGCCGCGGAGAGAAACAAGCGCAGCGGCAAAGGAAAGAGAAGTCACAGAATTTCTCAGTCTGGAGCGTCGCAGGATCTGCGGCTTCAGACGGAGTTTTTAAAACAAGGTTTTAAACTAGAGGCTTCAACATGTGAAGCTTCCCAATGATCTGTGAATGATAGGCCAGGCCATGCAGGGGGGGGGTCTTATTGACATCAAGAATTACTGATTTACTACAGAATCAAACAAACTGAAGGATCAGATTTAAAGTTCTGCAACTATCTGATCAGATCTGGGTCTAAATGTAAAAATCCTCTGGAAGTTTTCCTGAGCTGGAAAACAAAATCTGGCAGCTTTCTGTTTCATTTAGATGAAGCAATCAGAAGCTCCAAACCGGTTCTTCTGGTCCTTTTCCATTTCACTTTCTGAACTCAATCTTAGACTTGGATAAACTAATATTATTTTTATACAAGTCGAGTATATATTAAACTACATTTTGTTTTTTACAGCTTTCAGACAGTAAATTAACATTTCCATCCATAAAGGTCAGCAGTGATCAAATGTAAACAGTTTGGGAGAAAAAACAAAAACACTCATTGATCTG